CGAAAGAACGAAGAAGAATATTTCATAATTGGGAGATATGAACCCTTTTTGAGTCATACGATAAAAAGTTATTTAATCATTCCTTTTTGCGCGAGTTATCCATTTACAATATAGAATAATATTTATATAAAGGAAAGTAATTAACGATATGTATGACGGATAATAAAGTTGCAGAAAAGTTATCATGAAAAGAAAGCTATACAAAAAGATGTCTGCATATATTAAATTTCTGTTTGAAAGAACGTTATACAATATATGTAATACACCTATTTTTATCAAAAATATTTCTTCATAAGTCTGGGAAAATGCATTATTTAGAATAACACACAGGTATCTTACGATATTCTAATCTAATTTTTTTTAATAATATTACATAAATCTTTCATTGAAGCAAAGGGAATTTCGTCAGGCTAAGAAAATAACATAAAATCTTCAAGTCAAAGAAACATGCATTTTTCTTCCTAAGTTTCATAAATTAAAGATTAATTAAATACGATTGAACACACATACATACATTTGAAATCAATGTACGCGTTGAACAATATATTTATAATATAAACTATAATAATGGGCATTATTTGCTTCGCTGTGATTCCTGTCCGATGTTTGCAGGGAGTTCATACGTTTCCCAACGTCGCCACGTTAACTCAGTGCAATCAGAAACGTATACGTTTCCAATCGCGAAGATCATAGAATGATATTCAAGAATTTAGAAACATATGTATATTTTCCACCGTTCGCAACGCACGTACACGTAATATTGCGCGCAAATACAGGAACAGAACCCGATGCGAGCGAGAATTACAGAGCCCGGTTGTCTAACGACGGTGTGTTACCGCTTCATTGATACTCCGATACCTCTGCGGCGCGTTCCGAGTTAATTGTGGTTCTTTCTCGATCGCCGGTCGCTTGATAAATTCATGGCCGACTTTGTTGTAACATAGCTGTGTTGCTCTTTCTGACACATTCCATGCAAATTCAACAGAAACATTTAACGGAAATCTTTCGGGTGACCGTGTGCATACATATTGTAAACCGTTGAATAAAAAGGAACCGCTCGGCAATGCGAATCGTGTATTCGTTTTAAAACGACGGCAGCTCTCGGATTTCGCGACGAACGACTGCGAAGGCGATATTCTTGCCGGTGTTAACGTACTACTTTTTCTGCCGCAGCATCAATTTGCGAGCGTAGCAGACAAACGATGGAAATGTCACAGATCGGATATCGCGCGCGTGATCTGTCTGCGAAAGTGCCGTAAGAGATATTGAAAGCTTGGCTTCGCGAAGAATATCTCGCGACCTTCCCCCACCCCCTTCTCTTTCTCTTTCTCTCGAGCGCGCGCGCGCGCGCGCTTTGCGAGAGAAATTCACGACGATTATATTCACAATATTTCTTCATTTGCATTCACCCGGAGACATTTTTACGTCTCTTCGGCGACGTAATTATGCGCCGTAGTTTCAGAAAGCAGGTCTCATTTCTCGCTCAATTTATGTCACTCCCCCGTCTCTCTCCACTCATTTCAGGAGGAGCGATAGAATTGCTTGATTATGCACCCTTCGAGTCGTCCGCTCGTCATCATCAAAATGTATCCATCTGGCTGCAATATCTCGAAATGTAGAATCATTCGAAGCACCGTAACTTACGAATTTATCGAAAAGCCCATCATCACGATTTGTCTTTCCCCCATGTTATTCAAATAATTCCAATATCCAACTCCACAATGTGGTATCTGCGTACATCCCAATATAGCGAGACATTTATACGAATATATTCCAAATGCAGAATCGAATTGCGGAATCCGTGACGACCGTGCGTATCCCGCCGGGCTGTAAAGAAAATCAACATTCCCCTCACCCGGGTCTTTCCATCACCTTGGAAATTATGGGACGCGCGTTTTTGCGCTCCGCTGCATAGCGGATATCACGAGGAGGAAGGAAGGAGGGTGCGCTAACATAATTACCGCAAACTAGTTTACCATATTTATGCGCCGAGCGCGCAGGCGAGCTCGGTCGGGATAGAATCTGATAACGGTGATAGCGCTGATCCGAAAAACCGTGGGCTTCCTTGGGGGCGGGGAATCACGACGCGCCGGTGCGCAATAACTCGTTAACGGTGGCGAACGCGTTGTATCCGATAAATAATGCTTTTCCTATTCTCGGCGCGCGTTCTCTTCTCTCTCTCTCTCTCTCTTTTCGTACGACATTTTATTTCCTCGCTCCCGTGCGCCACGATATTAAAGATACATTAACTCGGCAACCGCGGACCGGCAGTTTTCGCTCTGGCCGCGGCAGGAATAGCGCGAAAGAAATATGACGACGTTTTCGTTTGAAAAAGCGAGTACGAGAGGAGAGCAATAACAACTCGCCAGTCGTTCGAGAAAGATTCATTGCTCTCCTGCATAAGGAACCTAACGAGCTTACCGAAGCTTAAGCTTTTTCCTCCGTGGTCGCGCGCGCTCACGCTATCGAGCTGGCGCTTGAGTATCGCGAACAAACGGCGACGAGCGCGTACAGACGCATCCGTTATGATAATTTACGAGCGGACGGCTACAATGGAAGTTGCGTCAACACACAAGTCTTACTGTCCGCAGTATTGCGGTTTTGCGAGCCGTTGGTAGCCTTGGCAGGGAAGCCACTTTAATGATAAACATTTCTGCAATTAAGTCTACTACCCCTCTTGTTACTCCTTCTCTCTCTCCCTCGAAGGTCTCGACCGCAGAGCTCGTTCAAATTTTATGCTCAACAATCCGTACGTGTGAGATAAAAACTGACCGAACAATGGTGTATTCGAAGCATTATCGTGTCGGCGTGAATTTTCGTTTCATTTGTCCGAGTGATAAATATAAATCGATTCAAGGTTTGATCATATTATAGATTTAATCCTTCATCTCCTCCGCAGACTTTTGTACGGCAAAGAAAATTCACTTGATCCAAATACTGTCAAAGTGAGAATGTATTTATACAAATAGTTGATTACAGTCTGTAATTTCATTGGGACTCGCAACTTTTTATTATCGTAGCACCGCAAGAAACAAAATACTGCTATTCAAGTAAATATTTGCTAAGGAATATCGGGGCGATTATTTTACTTGGATTAAATAAATATTATTTGAATGTTGCACATTGAAAGGAAAAAGAAAAATATGACATTTAAGTAATATTTATTTAATCCGTGTAAGATAATTGATACAAATTACTCTTCAGCAAATATTTATTTGAATGTGACACATTTCTTTTTCATAATGCCAACAAGAACATGTGGAGAAGTAGAATGCCAAAATCCGCAAAGCCAATCAGGTTAGTCCATGGGGCGTAAAAAGTTAAAGATATCGCGACACGTTTAGATCCCCCCGTCAATAAGTAAAGTTCCCAAATTGTGCCGAAAGACGGTCAGACGAAAAAAAAAGGTAATTAAATAAATCCGTCACGTCTTTGTGACCCATATAAGCTCCCGTGGATTCGATGGAAGCTCCTTATTTGAGAACAAGTCACGAATAGTCGCGGTCGATCGATTTTTAATATAAATAGACGTGTAATACATACGCTCGCCCACACTTACACAGACATAAGCTCGCGCGAAATCGCCTAATATTTTTGCTCCCTTTGCCTCTCGCTAACCCTTCCCTTGCCGTCTCCCTTGCCGTCTTCCTTGTTTTTTTCTCACTCGATGTTTCCTCCTCTGTCGATCCGCGCTCTCCTCCTCTCTCCCTCTCCGCCACTTCACTCATTCCATGCCGCTCTCTCGACGCCCTCACTCTCTTTCTCGAGCTTTCCTCTCCCCAGCTCTCTCCTCCCTTGCAACTCCTCTCTTCGCCACTGTTTCAAGTTCCTTCCGCCTGCCCTGCGCGCACACACCTTCGGCAACCTCCCTTTTCCCCGTCCTCTTTTTATCCTTTTTTTCACTCTTTCCTACTGTCGCCTGCCTTTTTTCACTTTTGTTCTACTCACTTTACACGGCCGAGGGATGAAATTTATTTACAGAAAATCGCGATATGCGCTTTCGTACAGTTTTTCCAGTCCCTCCGGCGATACTGTGGGCGAGAGAAACTAGAAATACCTGGAGTCGCTAAAATTGCATCGCCGCGTCACGTGTAGTGATCTTTCGTCCTTCAATATATTTCCCTCTCGCAAAGCCTACGAATTTCAACTATTTCGTCCGTAAAATATCGAATTTTTAGTAGCGATATTAAGGGGGCCCTACGTTATTGTTTACTAAAAAAATATTGTCCTATAACTTGATTCAATCATCTAAGTGATAAATGTGTTAATTTTGAGCGAAATTAAGACAAATATGCACACAATATTAACAAACACGGGGATGTTATTTATTCCTTTATTTTTCTTATTAATGACTTATTTATATGTCAGTTGAGCTAAGAGAGATGCACACATAATAGAAAGTAATATATAAATATTTAAATTAATTAATACGTATACGTACATATATGTAAAAAAACGAGAGAGGTATTTCGGAAAGTAGTCTCTTTTCCCGATTTCGTGGGGATTTCATGCGTAAGCTTATTTTGGGAGCAAAACAGAGATATTCTCCGCAAAGGTATAATCCTAACGAGATTTTCGGTAAATATTTGCTTAATGTATTACTTCCCCATGTCATTCCGTAGATTAGGAATATAATGATACGAAGCTCAAACTTAATTACTCAAGACTGTTGAGCAACGTACACAGAGAAAAGATCTTTGGATCTAGTCACACGTTTGTTTGACTCGGCTTTGTTTAATATAAATGACATAATTTAATATCAAATATATCATTTTGTTTGAATGAAAATGTTGTTTCACTAGAGTAAACTGTGTTGTTGTTTGATAGAGAAAACAGTTTGTTCGATTCATTCCAAAAGACATTTGTTTTTTGTCGCAACACGATAAGCGGAATCAAAAAGTTGTTCCTCATTATCAAATTCTATCGAATATACGAAGAATCAAGAACACACACACACACACACACATGACGCATCGAAGTCGCGATGAACGCTGGCTCACCTCGTCGTAGATGAAGTTGTCGATCTCCTCCAGCGGCCTGCCGTAGAGCTCGGTCGGGAACGGTTCGAATTTGTTTGGCAGTACTGCACCATCCTCCACCGACATCTTCCTTTTCGGTTGAAATCCATAATCGCGCACTAACTGCACAGTCTTGTTCTCCAACCTGTCGAGGCTCTCCTTGGTGAACGGCTTGACCGTTTGCTTGCCGGTTTTGCCGCCGGGTGTCCTCGAGCCGGGCGACTTGCCGTCGATCTTGCTCGCGTCCGGGACGTCGGCCGACGTCGCCTGGGGGCTCGCCACGTCCGCCTGGATCTCCGCACTTCCGGAGTCTCCGGTGCCGGAGTCGGCGGAGGTGCCGGCGGTGCCGGCCAACGGCGGCCGCAGTCTCGTGCTGTCCTGCACCCTGGAGCCGCTTTTCTTCGCCGGCGGCGAATCGCTCTTCTTCGATTCCGGCGAAGTCGGCTTCTCCGTCAGCGGTGTTCGCGACGGAGCATCCTCCATCCCGTCGGTCGCTCGCTTCGAGTCCCCGGAGCCGTTGTCGTCCGCCGGTGAACTCGGACGATCGTACGGCGAGTCCTTGCCTTGCTGGCGGGAGCTCACGTTGCTCCTGGGGCTGATCCTCGGCGTCTGCGACTCCTCCGTGTACTCGGGCGGACTCAGACCCGCGTACGGCGGTGGCGACCGTCCCGGCGGCCCTCGACTCCCGGTGGTTCCCGTCGGCGGGGGGACGCGGGGCCCCTCCGGAGGGCGCCTAGGCCCGTCCGCGAAGCGACGCGGCCCAGCCGGCATCCTGGACTCCTCGCCGATGGCTCGCACGTCGCTGGAGCTTCCTCCGGGCGACGCTGTAACATCCGGCCGGACGAATGGCTCTTTCCAGGCGGCAGGGAACTCGGAGGATCCCCGAGCGGATCTCTCCGGCGAGCCCTGGCCCGGACGGTCCTCCAGTCGTTTCGGCCAGCCCCTTTCCAAGGGAAGCGAGCCATGATGATCCCTCCGCGCTAATTCGTCCGATAGCTCGCCGGCCTCTCGATATCTCCATCCGACGCCGGATCTCCTGGGTGGCTGAGGTGTTCGAGAGGCCGCTCCTCTGGGGTGATCCTGGCCGCTGCTGCTGCCGGGCAGATTGAGACTTCTCTGGCTACCGCCGTCTCCGGGTCGGTCGTTCGGGTCGCCGGTGGGCCCGTAGATACCTTCCTTCGACAGCTCGTCCAGCTCCTCTCTGCTGAGGTTCTTCACGTAGAGCCCGGCCACCCGGGGTCGGTTCGTGAAACCATTGTCCTCCGAACCGCTGCTCGGAGGGCTGGGAGGACTTTGATACCCCTCGCTCCCACCCCGCCGAGATGTCATTGGGACCTTTGCTCGATCATCCCTTTCGATCCTGGACTTGTCGGCCTCATGCTATTCGTTAAACCGCCTCGGGACTCGATTGCTCGGCCGGTCGATACAGGCCAGGCTGTTATTGGCCAACGGGATCCTCGAGTGCGGAGCGTAAAAGGATTACAGGGGGATACAGCGGGGTCCGCGGCCGGTCGTGTCCCTCGGCTTTTCCTCTCTGCCTCGTGGATTTATGTGACGCCTCGCGGTCTCACCGGGTCCGCAGCCGGGTGTACAAACCGGCTCGACTTTTTCCTCCGCCTCGACGTCAGCGAGAACCCGCGTGAAGCATCTCTCTTTCCTCCTCGTCAATTGTACCTCACGTCGCGCGCACTCGGATCGTCACATTTGGGAACGAAATGGGTCGTCACTTCAGCGAAGTCTCGGGAAACGGAACGTCCCCTCGATGCGGAGTCACTGCAGCTCGCCTCAGCGTGCCGAGGCCGGGGAAGTTCACGGGATTCACGTGCGAGAGACATCGGCCCCGCGCGGATGATACCGCCGCGAAATCGCTCGTTTTTCCGGTTCGGATCTACCGGGAATGGATTACGGGCGAGACAACCTCGACCGACTCATGTTGCGTTTTCCCGTTAACGGTCAACACACGCAGGCGGAAATACCGCACGGTCGAGAGAGTGTTTTCGTGTGACGGACGGCGGTGGGGGACCGACTGCTTCTCGGAAGTTCCCGCTGACCTCTCTCGCTTACCGGGAGACCGCGCCGTCTGACAGATCACGACGGTGTTGTATTGCGAGGGTGAAGCGTGTTAAGCGCGTAAGCCGATTCGACGACGAACTTGTTGAAATTTCCGGAAGTTCGGTCGCTACTACCCGAGTTATTCCGCCGACTTTCGCTCGGCACTCGAAGCTTAGCAGCTATATCGCCGAGAGCGGCGGGCTGCACATCGCGCGACGTATACTCCTCATATCGTGTGCCGCGACTTTAAGAGGTCAAGGAGTCCGTGCTCGCGCACAGCTCATTCCGAATATCGGCGGCTACGAGTGTCATGGTACCACCTGCTATAAGCATCGACCGGCCGCGCTACTGGCAGCGGTGGAATCCCGACCCTTTTCGCCGACAGTTAGCCCCTGGATTAATTCCATTATAAATATATGCGCGCGCTAGCGAGTGAAAGTCGACCACGTGATTGCCCGCGACTCGCCATCCTCGATCATTGAACACGTCACTGAAGAGCGTGCGAGCCGTCGTGAAAGAAACTGCCGACCGGTGCGTTCAACGAGACGCGAGGGAGGGAGCGAGCGATCCACGCTCGATCGATGATCCGCACGTGTCCTGATCCTCCCTTCGTCCTCCAGCGGCTCCTCGACGGTGAAACTTGTGAATAACCACACAAAATATCACCCCGGCCGCCGCGGGTCGATCACCCTGACCCTCTCAACGTTTACTGCTCGAGCTCGAGCGGGATCACGTGAACGACGTGCAGCGGAGCCCGAAGGCTGGCTGACTGGGACGCGACTACAGCCAGTTCGTCAAGGTTTACACCCGGCGGGCAGAAGGCGCGTCCGCCCGCACATTCGCACTCTCTCGCAAACAGCGTGGCCGTATCAGCGGGCCACTGTCATCACGAGCACCCACCACCACGAGGCGTCGGGACCAGCGGCGAGACTCCGGCGGGTCGTCAGCACTCACTCATCATTCGTGTTATCCGGCGAAGGTGCGTCGCGGCGCGAATGGTACGACCGAGCGAGCGGTTCAACGGAGAGGAAAGACGAAAGGGAGACACAATTCGCGACGAGGAAAGATGTACTTGTGCGAGGGTGCGGGCGAGAAAGAAGGGGAAAGGATCCACAGAGAGAGCGAGCGAGTGGGAGAGAGAGAGAGAGAGACAGAGACAGAAAGAAAAAGATAGAGGGAAAGAAAGAAAGAGAGAGAAAGAGAGAGAGAGAAAGAGAGAGAGAAAGAGAGAAAGACAGAGAGAGCCGTGGTGCACCCTCGTCGTATAGTCCGGTAAATTCTGCTCGAGCGGGGGTGCAAAATCACGGGCGTCTCTTCCGAGAGCTGTGGCGGCACTGTCGGCACCGAACCCCATCGGCATCGCGTGCGCGCGCGCGCGTATCGAACGAACCGAGCCGGCCACACGGAATCCTCGTCGACACAGCGACGTGTACATACACGTGCACCGGGGGGAGAGGGGGGAGGTAGGGTGCCTCGAACACACGCAGCGTGACGGTGAGAACGCGACGAGAGGGGGAGGGGGGTGGCCCGTCGGTGGCGGATGTTCGACAGTGGTGGTGCGGTGGCGGCGGTGGAGGTGGTGGTGGTGATGGTCGCGGAGGATACCGCGTACCTGCACGAACACCCACCGCCGCTACCGTTGCCGCTGACGCTAACCCCCACCCTGCGGGGCCACACAGCGAGCAACCCCCTGCAGGTGGTGGAGGTGGTTGTAGACGAGCAGGATACGGCAAACAGCCAGACCGGCCGGGCGAATCGTATCCCTCGTTCCGCGGGACACGCGCGTGTAATTAATCCGGCAATCGACGCCAGATTCCGCCGGATGAGAGCCGGGTTAACGCGCGAACGCCTTCCGCGGATGGCTCGATCGAGTAATTCTCGTCCTTATACGTCCTTATACGATTACCACGTTCCGCGATTTCACGGTGGTCGCAGCCCGGCGCGACTCCGGCGGTATCCTCGTAATGGTGTAACGGGAGTTTCCTCGTATCTTCGACGAGATACCGCCGGCTTCGTAGGGTTTCGATCGGTTCATCGACGACTTTCTCCGGAACGACGGGAATTTCGGCTTTCATCAGTGCGCCGTATACCGAGAGCGAATCGAGTCTATCACCGGCCGTTACACGGCACCGTCGTCCTCGCCGTGATCAGTTTCTCGCACGATGATACGCGGCCTCCGGTAATGGAGATGGAAACCTCCGATCAATTTGGGGAATGTAGATGAAGCGGTAGATGCGAAGTTCGATCAGTACGAGCGGGAGGGGCTGACTTCGCAGCGGGAATTTAAGCAGACGCGTGATCGCGAGCATTAACGAGCATCAAGTGGAGAACCGGGCCGATCAAGAGCTCGTGAAATTTGACGGGCCGGCGAAGTCTTAACTTTCAATTAACGTGCGCATCGTAGATACAGATCTCCGACGGGGAGATGCGATTTAAAGCGTAAATACTGTGAGAAATTTGGAAAAGTCGCGGTGTAACGAGCTTACGATGAAATTCGTCCGAAAGTACCCTCTACTGCCGACCCCGTGCATCTTAACGATGACTCGGCAGTCGGTGGTTGTAATATGCAATTTGTTAAGATTAGCCTCGCGAAGGACGAAGAATATAAACGACTCCGCCGTTTCCTCGCTGGTTTCCTTCCGATCTCCAGGGAGATATATTCTGTTCTCCTCTGTTACCTCCCGATTATCCTCCCTGAATTAAAACGTCGTCGGTCGATCCGAGGTGTCACGTGACATCTGTGAAATACAAATTCGTCGATGAGAGCGACGATGAGATTCGACGAGTAATATTATAGGATCACCGTTATCCAATGATATAGTTCAGTAGGGTAAATTTGCGCGGCATATGTGATTACTGATGGCCGGCGGCCGGCTCGAGACGTGGATGATGTGAAACGGGCCGTAACCCGTTTCGCACCATCTACGTCTCGAATAAGCCGCAATTTAGGGGTCGCGTTTAAATCTGAGATGTGACGCGTAATGACGATTAATTGCCGGGATAGGTGAGAAACATAGGATCGTCTTCGACTAACAAGTAATACAGCCAATAATGATCCCGCGCGTCCCGTGCGCGCGCGCGCTCGTGTGTGTGTGTGTGCTTGCAGACCTCGCGAATTTCAAAACTTATTCGGCGGTACGTTACCCTCGAAAAGTATCGGGACGTACATTCCCACGAGTCTAAGGTGAAGGTACTTCGGCGTGGCGTTGGCGAACCCGCGATAAGTTCTCCTATCTTCAACTGAAATTCTCAAGTGGGCTAATTGATATCGTCAAGCAAAGTGAAGCTCGCAATAAACCCGATGGAATATACGGTTCGATGAATCGACAATTAAATCTTTAAGAATCAATCAATCGGAAAGAATTCATAATCTATCGTTTCATTACCAAGAAGCGCTATCGAATACAAATATTGAACACAGTTTATTGAATTATTAAATTAGTATACATGTATATGTCGATTACATTTTTGTTGGCCATCATCGTTACAAAATATCGGTGCTGGGGAACCTCGTCATGGTATTAAGGGATCGTTTGCAACGGCTGTGTGGGAACACGCGTCTGAGTGCATAAAGTTTCTGCAAAACCTTGCAGGCACGGTGCTTCGCAATATTTCTTGCAAGATAAGCTACCGATCTAAGATAAGCCACGTCGTAATGTATCGTCCTTGCGACGGATGTGTAACTAGCGTTGTTTACGTTACCCTCCCTCCCTCCCCCCCCCCC